AGGACTGGTTCACAGATGATTTCAAGTGACGTAGTCAAAACCGCACTGCGCTCCAGCCATCGCGATTGTCTTGGAAGAAGGACGAAACTTTGGGACGTTAATCCTACAATCTCGCTAGCTAGAGAAATTTGTCAAAATCCAGTCTCAGCAAATTTTAGCATTACAGCATAATGACCGGAAATGAAAATGTTAATAATGGTTAAATGTTAATAAGTGACTTTTCTAGGAAATGTAAGGGATAACTATAATGTAAAATCAAATTATTTTCTTAGGTACTCCTCAACAGATATTACGAACGGGAGAGATCAAGAGCGAAACGAACGTGGCTGAACAGTAATGGGTGGGTTCAATCAAATCAGCTCCTCCTTATCACGGGTGATTCATTGCGGCAATCTGAATAGTATGCTCAAACTCAGTTTAGACCAATACATAGTTCACATCGAAATACCAGATCAAATCAAGATTGAGCGCACGGCGTAACCTTGCGAGTTCTACTCAACACTTATAAGGGAAGCTAAATTACGTCTTTCACGTCAGCGCTTGTCTTGCTAGAGAATTTGGACCAGACTTGTTAATGAGGTAGGTATCCTGATAATTGCTAGATACTTTCCTACCAGCCCCCTTGATGCTCACAAGAAGAAGTCGAAGCTTTCTTTTCTTTGGCTGGCGGTAGGACTGACCAAAGGTCCCACCACCAAAGGTCACAGGTGCTAAAGTGTGAAAAGGAAAATGAGGATGCTTTTCAGTTCCAAACGGGAAATTTTGAGGTAATTTTTGGAAGTGGATCGTAGGAGCGCGAATGGACGACGGAGCTTTGAATGAATAAGGGTAACTTCTTACGTGCCTTTCAGTATCAAAGAAAAATGGAAGCATGTCGACCACCAATTGCAAGGGAAATTGCATGATTCTGTCATGGATAGTCCATGGCGCTTCTCAATGTAAGCTACGGTGACGCGGAATTATTTGCTCCTACTGTTTTGATAGTGCTGTAATCTTTCGGGTGCAAGCAATGTGACGCGTGGCTTCCCATGCCTCACCGAAACTCATACATCAACAAATTTTCCCTTCGAGTTCGTTCAGTATTGAAAAAAAAAGTCGACACATCCTCTTTACGCTAATGAAGCCCTGCAAACCACAAACCTGCAACCTTTACAAACAAGCTAAAAGTACCATTGTCGAAGGCTGCTACTGGAAAACCGCAAATATTCCGGAATTCTGATTCTAAAGCCGTGGAAAACGAGTTGTGGCCGCTTTAGAAATAGCTACAGTTTCACGTACAAATTGGGTCGTTCAGGGTGACCCATGACACCTTTTCAAAACGGTATTGTGCATGTTGTAGTGACGCTTGCATGGATTACAAGTCCTTGACCATTTTGGACTGAGTTTGTGTCAATATGGTCCTGATCATTAAAATGACATTTCATGGCATTCATGACATTTGGCCACGGGGAATCGAACCCTTAGCTGACCTTTCGCTACATTTTTGGCACTAGTTAAACCCACGGCAAAAATGATACAGCTTTGTTTTTCCGACGTTATGTAAATAACAGCAGTGAAAAGGCGGGACTCACCCACCCTTCTTTGGGATTACCCCATGCACCTAATTCATCTAGCAGAAGGTCCATTTAGGATTGAATCTCACCTCTGTCATTAATTTTCCGTAAACTGTCCATGAATGCGATCATTGATGAGCTGTCTCACTTCATTCATATTGTTATTTTTGTCCTGATTTTATTTAATGGTTATTCAATCCTTACATGTA